TTTATTGATGAACCACTCCTGTAGACACTAATGAAGACTGGAGAGACATTTCAGCTAGTCAGCCCAATACCAATACTTGCACTTCCACACTTGCACCCATTCAATTGCACAATCCCAGTCAGTGGTGCGAGTGTGTAGGATGTCCCAATTCTCAAGTGCATAGGTTGATCATGCCTCTTTTGCACCCTTGATCTGCAATTCACCCAAGTCAGCACTGACGCAGAACCATTCAAAGTGTATTACCCGCAATCCATTGCTGCGGGAGAAAAGGCTAAATTGTCTTTTCTGAAAATATGTATTTTCAGATTAAAGTAGTTCACTTTAGGATGATTATTTGATGTTATGAATACTTTAGACAAAGTAGCAATGATTTTAATTTATTTCAAATAACAGTTTGGTTGTTTGTTTGAAAGTTGTTAATAAAAGTTTTATTTTTTGTTGTTTATTTTTTTGAATCAGCACAGCAACCAGCATCCCGGCATACATTGCAGTCGATGATACAATGATCTCTGTCTCAATTGAGAAATTATTTGCACACCTGTGTACCACACATTCGAAGCCTTACTGCAGACTTCAGGTCTTCTCCCAGTTGGACGTGCCCTGAAAACCTCACCAGGGAGGTATCCAGGAGGCATCCAGATGCCCGAGCCACCTCAACTGGCTCCTCTCGATGTGGAGGAGCAGGAGGTCTTCTCCGAGCCTCTTCTGGATGACTGAGCTTCTCACCCTATCTCTAAGGAAGAGCCCAGATGCCATGTGGAGAAAACTCATTTTGGTCACTTGAATCTGTGATCAGGTATGTTTTCATTTTTATTTTTAAGTCTATTATTCCTATGTTTAAACCAATATCATGATGTGCAAAATATACAAGGTTCTTGTTGAATACTGTTTTTTTATTTAATTTATTTGACATTCTTGTCCGTTTCTGTATTGTCAGGCAGGCTAATCCAACACCTGTAGCAGCCTTTTCCCCACAGTCATGCTTTTATTGTGTGTGCAGACCGTTGGCTTGAAAACATGAATGGTAGCCCCTGAAAAAGAGATTGTCACAAAGGCAGCATTTGCTGTTCTAAAAGCTCAGTTTACTTTTATAGAATAATGCTTTGCTAATGGCACTGATACAAGCTGTTACCATCCTGCATTATTGGGCTCATTGCCAACATTTTAAATGATTTTCCTCTTTTGTCTGGAGCACAAAATGTGGATTTCTTTCAAAGAGTCTAACTGATTTGCGATGCAACAAAACGTGTTTACAGTGTGTGAAGGCCCATCCCACATGCTTACATGAGTCTTCTTTCTTTGCACAACAGAGTTTTGACGCTTCAAGACTCAGTGCAGCTGACAAAAACTGAAAGGTGGATCAAGGACACGTCAGTTGTGAATGGATGAAGTGGTGTTTGTGAATGTAACTCTATTGTATAGCTCAGCAAAGATTTTCTCATTAAAAAAATAACCTTTTACATGCACACTGCCTCTGAATCCTTTTCTGCCTTTCAAATCCTTTTCCTGTATCTGGAAAGTATGTTATCATTTTTTTATTTCTCACAAAATATGCATTTTGGAACACTTGGAACATTTTTGTCAATACCTCAGAGGCTTTGAATGTGTCATAGAGAGCAATAAGAGCTGATGAAAGGATCCAACGCTAACAGAGGTATGCTGGCAGATTGAGGCCACGTGTTTAAAAGAAAAAAAATCGCTAATTGAAAAATGATTTCTTTAAAAATAAAAATAATGTTACTTTGAATTAACTTTTGTTTGTTTCTACTATTTGCTTGTCTTTCAAAATAGTGAAAAAAGTATAAATCTGTGACTTGTGACTTTTTCTTTAGTAAAATGGTGTCACAGTTGGATAAACTGCATCTTTTCAGTTCAAAGGGGACGTTTTTACAAAAATCCCATACTTCAAAAGACAAATGTGCCAAAAATATTTCAATTTGTCAAATCTACAACAGCTTAAAGTCACAGATGAAATAAAATCAATCAATTTCCCTCTGGGATTAATAAAGTATTTTTGAATTTGAATTGAATTGAATTGAAAAGCAACCCTTCTTTTTTATGAAAGACCCTCCAAACGTAGAATGTTCAGACTCATTACATTTTTAGTATAAGCTCGAGAAACTCATCCCATCTCTGAATGTACTGGAGTGCATCAATAGCTCGTCTGTCTGAACTCTGAAGGCTCACAGCTTCACTTTCTCTCTCTCTCTTCTTTCTCCCTGAGCCTCCTCCTCCTCCTCCTCTTTCGGCCACACACAAGGCCATTCATTCAAAGACCTCCTCATGCAGCCGCGTCGGTCCCCCGAGGTGCCTCTGTGTATCGCGAGCTGCCCGGGATGGAAGTGTGAGATTGAAGAAGGCTCATGGCATCTTCCTCGATGCTGACTGGGCCCTACAGGGCTCCCCTTCACGACTCCCCACCTTGCTCAGACTCATGATGAAGACTTGTTAGAGATTAATTAGGATTTTTTAATTTTTCATTTGGTCTTTGATGTATTTTTTTTTTCCTGGTTAAAACTCGGGTAGAAGAGGAGGAGGTTAGAAGCATTCTGTCCCAGTATGGATGAAACATTAAAGAAGGCTTAACCCTGACCCTACCCTTGAAGATGGATTTGTTTAGTTTTTCTAGAAGTGGAGTTTTTAAATGTTTTGCCAAAGTTTTTTTTTATTTTTATTTTTTTTTTTCAGATTCCCATTATACCATTAATTCCAAGCAATACTAAAAACATGCCCTTTACTGTTTTCTGGCCAATGTAGAAATCAGGAAATGTTCTAAACTTAGCCTAAAACCCACAAATGGCTGTTTGATTATTCCTTTATTGCAACAATTATTTCTGGCAACAAACCCAATGTTGTTGGAAAGCCTGATTTATCACCAGGTACATGTTTTTAAGGATCCGGCATCCAAGGACTGAGCAACACAGTGAGAAGTGTGTGAGTAGCATCCCCAAAACTCACAAATATGTGTTGCTATTTCTACTGTGGGAGAGCGCAATCACTAAATTCACCAGGCAGCTTAGAACAATTGTGAATAACGCATTATTGCAGGGGATGTTGGCACATTTTAGGGGGCGCTACCAACATGTTTAGCTGTGTTGATCATTTTACAGATGCACAATCCTAACAAGCTGTTCCTCAAAATACTTAAGGTGACCAATCAGACAGGATTGATTGCTAGAATGCATTATTACAATAAACAATAAACATTTATACAAAGTTTTTATGGTTGGTATCAGTTTATGTACATACAGACAACAACTGCACATCTGTGACATCAGAACTGATGCTGCTATTGACTGCTTCCTCTGTCTACTGCAAAACAACAAGTTGCAATAAAGCACAAAATCTAGTGTTTCCATCATATGTGCCAATGTTTAAAACCACACATAGCTTTACTTTTGATTCTTTTATGGGGTCCCATTGCAACCTGTGTCACATTCTTTGACTTTCTGCAAGATTACAGATGCGAAAATGTAACTTTATTTTCAGTGGTGAAGGACAAATGGCCCACTTAAATAATAAAATACAGATGGCACTTAACCAAAGGTGTAATAGTGGTGCAAAAACACAACAGTTTGACTTATGAATATGATAATATTCATTTTATGGCTTCAGAAGCCAGCAGTGAGAACATGCATTGTACAAAGCATAGTAAATATAACAATATACTGATACATGTCCAAATAAGCATGGATACGCATACATAGTAATGCAGTGCACTTTGCAATCTGCAAGTATTAAATAAAAAAAAACCACTTAATTCTACACAAAGTTTCCAAAATAATATAAAAGGATTGGTGGATTCAGAGCCACTTTGGTTTGTTATGTCTTAAGAAAACAGATATTTAAAGTGAATGCTTCCCTGATCCAACAGCTGAAGCACTGATCTACAAGTTTGCTTAGGTAGAATGTGGGATGGAATTGTATATCATCTGATATCAGCTCATATGCCAGCTGAGGTGGTGTCATAATGCTGCCTGCAGTGAGCTCACACAATCTGATGCAGCACAGGGTTTTTTTGCATTAGCTACCATTATCTCACACCGCTCTTGAGAATCCCGCTGCCTTTCAAGATAAACAACATCAAAGCCAAAGACAATGAATCCATAGAGGCTCAGAATGTGTCAACGCACAGTGATGGAGAAACTAAAATTCACAGGCTTGTTGAGGACTTGATATTTAACTTGCAAATAACTTTGCCGCATCAATCCCTTTTATTGCACTTTATCATGGCTGAGTTAATTCAACTATAAAGTCACAAACTAGCCCTTTAGGGGTTTCCACTGTTTTGGCTGATCATTGGACATTTCAATGGGCTTATGGATGTGAAATGTTGCTTTTTCCAGTTTGTAATGTATATAGAACAAATATTGATCTACGTTCCAACCTTCACCTATGGTCTCGAGCTTCAGATATTGACCGAAAGAACGAGATCACAGATTCTAGTGAAATGAGTTTTCTCCACAGTGTCTAGGCTCTCCCTCAGAGACAGGGTGAGGAGCTTGGTCATCTGGGAGGGGCTCCGAATATATCCGCTGCTCCTCCACATCGAGAGGAGCCTGGTTAGGAGGTTTTCCGGGCACACCCAACCAGGAGGAAACCCAGGACATGCTGGAGGGACCATGTCTATTGGCTGGCTAGGGAACACCTTAAGATTTGTCTGGAGGAGCTGGCCCAAGTGGATGGGGGGAGGGAAGTTTGGGCTTCTTGGCTTAGGATCCTGCCCCCTCGCCCTGACCCAATAAGTGGATGAAATTGAATGGATGGATTGGACAAATATTGATAAGTTAAAAAATCAACCAATTGATATATCTGGTAGGTTTCATTTAAAATATTATTTTTATTTAATAATTTTTATTATTATTATTATAACAAGACAATTCGACTGAAAAATCCTGAATCCTTCTGAAATGTTTTTGATATCAGTGTCAGCCTTTATCAATCATTTTTACACTTCCGGTTTTACAGTGCAGCACTAGAGAGTTGGACCTCCTCTAGGAGACAGGTGGATCTGCTCCCAGCTGAAGCAAAGAGGGTGGAGGAGGACGGATGACGCGCAGCCGCCTCAGATTTGATTTTGTTCTGCAGGAAAAAAGAAAAGAAAGGGAAGCAAGCCGCTCCTCTTCATCACATTTCACTTTCGCAAGACTGAGGGGGAAACAAAGAAGTCAGGATGTAGACTCCGCCAGGTAACTAGTTTGATGTGAGCCGTTTCTCAGTTGGAGCGCTCCGCTCGCGTTCCGCGGGAGTACCCATCGATCCATCCCGGAGGAGAGGCGCTGCTCGCAGCCACAGCTTGCTGGATGGATCGGACCTTAATTGAACCAGCGGGCTCGTCAAAACTCTACAGTTCGCATTTTGACTAGAAATTGACATTTGAATCTGGTTTTTGGTGAGTACATTTGTTTCGCATCTTTAGGGTTTAGTGAAAGGAGATGCGCAGAATCTCGTAAAAAGTTCCAAATTTTCGGTTTCTTTCTTGGAAAAAACCTATGTTGTTAACTATTTGTTCAACGCGAGAATTGGGGCGTATTAATCCTATCAGGTCATAGAAGTTATTTAAAAATGACATTTATGATTAAATATGATTATCCTTCTGAGAATTTGAAATAAAAACACGGACTGATCATTCAACCTCGTTTTCACATTTTCAAGTTCATTTCTTGTTTGTGTTCAACAGGTTCATGCAGATCGGAGCAGGTTGGAAGTAAAACTCGTGTTTTTTTTTCTTTTTGCTCATTTACCTGGTTAGAGTTTATAGTTCCAGGATTTTTTTCCCTTGGCATTTGGGTTTTGTTCTGTTAGGTTTGGTCTGTTTGGACAGAAAATGCAGAGACTGACTTGATTCAGCGAGGAGCGGATTTGGATGGAGCTTCATGCTGATTTTTCTTACAGCTCCAGTCATCAGAAGCAGCAATCAGGGACTTGATTGAGCATTTGTGCAGGGGTTTATCTTTGTTTTTTGTTTTGTTTTTTTCCTCTTTAGATGCCAGTTCACTTTGAGGACAATTTAGTCTGAAGGCAAAGAAGACTACGTCCAAGGCTCAGTTTCACAATGGCAACAGGAGTGGCAGCATGGCTTCCTTTTGCCAGGGCCGCAGCTATTGGCTGGATGCCTGTGGCCAACTGCCCCATGCCAATTGCACCCAGAGACAACAGCAAAAAACAAGATGAGCTGATCATCCTTAATGTCAGCGGTCGCCGCTTCCAGACATGGAGGACAACTCTGGATCGATACCCAGACACGCTGCTAGGTAGTTCTGAGAAGGACTTCTTCTACAATGAGGAAACCAAGGAGTACTTCTTTGACAGGGATCCCGATGCCTTCAGAAGCATCCTGAACTTCTACAGAACTGGGAAGCTCCACTATCCCCGTCACGAGTGCATCTCTGCCTATGACGAGGAGCTGACGTTTTTTGGCATCATACCTGAGATCATTGGTGACTGCTGCTATGAAGAGTACAAGGACAGAAAGAGGGAGAACTTGGAGAGGCTGCAGGATGACCAGGAGGAAAACAAGGACCTGAAGCAATCCAACTTAAACTTCAGGGAGACCATGTGGCGCGCTTTTGAGAACCCTCACACATCTACCCTGGCCTTGGTCTTCTACTACGTCACTGGTTTCTTCATTGCCGTCTCCGTTATCACCAATGTGGTAGAGACGGTGCCCTGTGGTTCAAACTCCAACCAAAAAGACATGCCTTGTGGCGAACGCTACACGGTGGCGTTCTTCTGCATAGACACAGCGTGTGTCATGATATTCACTGTGGAGTACCTGATGCGCTTATTTGCTGCACCTAGCCGTTACCGTTTCATGCGCTCCGTGATGAGCATCATTGACGTTGTGGCCATTTTGCCGTACTACATTGGCTTGGTGATGACCAACAACGAGGATGTGAGCGGTGCCTTTGTGACGCTTCGTGTGTTCCGAGTGTTTCGAATCTTCAAGTTCTCCCGGCACTCCCAGGGCCTACGGATCCTGGGTTATACTCTCAAGAGTTGTGCTTCAGAACTGGGCTTCCTCCTCTTCTCGCTCACCATGGCCATCATTATCTTTGCCACAGTCATGTTCTACGCTGAGAAGGGCTCCAGCTCCAGCAAGTTCACCAGCATTCCGGCATCCTTCTGGTACACGATCGTCACCATGACCACCCTGGGGTGAGTGACACACTGTCATCGATACTACACATATTTACACCCCGCTTATTCTTTGTTTTAGAAATAAATTCAGCCCAGCAAATTCACTAGATGCATTTGTTTGGAGTTTCCCAACAATCTGAAAAAATTATGAAAACCTTTTGACTTTCAAATAAGCAGTGAGACAGCCTGCCCTCATACTTTAGTACACTACAGCTTATTAGAGTCTGCCAGTGTGAGTTATTATGATCAGCGTAGCATTTATCTATCAGCACAGACACTTGTGGCGCTTTGGTTTGTTTAGTTAGTGCCAGCTAAATGCTGAAGCAGTGAATGATCCCTCCTTTTTACTTTTTACCATTTTTGTTTATTTACTTTTCTGTAATAAAATTATTTTTTATTCTTAGATGATATTTGACCTAAGAGCTTAAAGTAACAATGTGTAGATTTTACCATTAATCTCTGGAAACATCTGTAGAGGGTAAATGTTGTTACTTTTAAGCTTAATATATTACCTTTACTTACAACCAATAAGTTGTGATATTCTATATAGATATAGAATATCAACCTGCTTGGTCTTTGGATGTTTAATCAGAAGATTCTAGGATTCTTTGCTTTTTCAAGGATCAAACACACTTTGTCTCAATTCAGACAGAGTCAGGTTTATAAAAGATAAGAAATTTATTTTCTAAACTAATAAAAACATGACAAGTTAACCAAGGCTACTGTGATGGGTGAATCTAAGTGGATGGGATGTGATGTATGGTGATTTAATGGTGTGTGTTTATCAGAACCTTGTATCTAGAAGAACAGAGTTCTGGGTGTGAAAAGGAATTTGGTTTGCATTAAACTATGAAGTTGGTTCTTATCAAAATAGCATCAGATGCAATCATGTTGTGTTCGACGTACCTCTGAGGAGACTCCCTTTTGGGTCCGAGATGTCGGGGGGTGGGGGGTGGGTGGGGGGGTGGGGGGGTGGGGGGGGGGGGGGGGGGCACCCCAAGGTACAGAAGTCCGTAGAAAAGACCGCAGAATGACCTGGATCACAACAGATAGATTAAATCGTGTGCGTCTAGAACAGCTGTTTCTGAATAGCTGAAGGAGCCATCTTGCTGTGTCAGCTGTAGGCAGCTTTTAGTAGGGTTTTTGACAGCTTGTCAAAAATGCTCTGGGTTAACGAAAGTTTGCTCCGGATGGCCTGTTCGTAGCTTTCTCTAGAACTGACTCACCATCAAGTGAGCTCTGTTTTAATATTCTCATATTATGATTCCTTGGCCAACCAGGACGTGCCGTGTTAAGGGGTGTTAACAAGCAGACCTCAGAACGTCACGCCTTCTTTCAGATACAGGATGCTCTGATTTGTGGCTAAGGAAATATCTATGTGTCGTGACGTTTAACTTAACTTTAATTTATCCTTAATGAACCTTGTGTCTGAGTGTAGATTCACTTGTCATATCAAACATTACTGATCATCATATACATAAATCTTTCAATGTAATAATAACATTTATTTCAAACTTCAGTAATTCAAACAGATTAATCAACCTCATTAATTTAAGCACAGATTAATCAAGACATTATTATTATTTCATTTCACGATTGATTAACTCAAATGAGCTGAAAATAGTCACTTTATTCAGAGATTGAGGAATCCTGTGGTGTTATCAAAAGGCTTTGTTTGGGAACACAGCCTGACATCTTGTTCCTCCTGAAATGTCAACAAGGCTGCAGTATCCTTCTGGGTTTGTTGGAAGCTAGGATGTAAAATCCACAGTAGAGAATGGAATTTATGTCTGCAGATGACCGGTGGCAAGTAGGTCAATCTGTAGGTGAAAACTGACCATTGCTGGATGTTACACATCCATCGAAATGTTGTTGAAAATGAGTTAAATGATGCCCAGTTGCGGCTTTGTAACATGTAACCATTGAAAGTGTGTTTAAAATACATGGAAGCAAACCTAAGTCTCTGGGCGACGCCATATTAGACGCCACGTTTCCTTCTACGGGAGCCCGTGAGGTCGAAAAGCATTTACTGATTTGTAACAAGCGGTTACAAAACTTTCACCATTCATATATGTTGTTGTTTTTTACACATTAACCTCTTCACTCATTGTCACTGACGAAAGAGAGTCTGACGTGTTTGTTATCCCAGGGATTTTTGACCTTAATGGCCATCCGTTGGTAAGGTCTCACTCGAACACAAAAATACTGCTTGCTTGGAATGATTTAGGTATGTACTGCCACCTATCAGCAGGAAACATACACATCATCACTTCAAGGATGTAAATTGTGATATTGGAATTTTAGTTTGATATATTCTGACCTTTCTATTCAGTATAAAACTGCTTTGTGAGGAAACAATCTGAGTGCGTCTTGAACAGAGAGCTCTCTTCTGTGTGTGTGAAGGTGAAACGTCTCCTGAGAAATGCTCTGTCACCTTTATAATGACGCCATCCTGCTCTTAATCTTTCCCTCAAGCCTGCTGCGAATCAGCGCAGTGAATAGGAAGGTGAACTTGAAGGTGTTCCTGAAGTTTAGCTGAGTGTCATCTCTAATGATGCAAGAACAGAAGGATAATAATGATTTCCTAAAAATCTGTTATTCTCTCAAGCTTTCTGTACAGACAATAATGTGAGTGTAAATGAGAGGAAGATTATAATTGCGCAATGCTCGGGCCAATTATTTTGGTGGTGTAGGTGATTCAGATAAGTAGGAAAAAATTGTGTGTTTTAAAATAAATATTTAGAGATTCAGGTGAGAAATGCACTTCTACTCCCAGTTTTTACATTCTGTATCAGCTTATGTTTTATATTTCTTCCCATTTATGTAAATATGAAGTGAATATAGCATCATGTAGAAAGATGGGAGACAAATTTAGAAGTCTTGATTTTGTGTGATTCTCAGTTTTATTTATTTGTCTATGTTGAGACTTCAAAGTTTAAATTTAAATTAAGTGATAATATTACAAACAGGTCGTCTCTAGAATTTTTTCAAAGGGGGGACCAGTTGGCAAGAGCACAGATGAATTTATTATGTTGTACTTACATAAATTACTTCAAAGGGCTCACTCGTGTAGAAACTGTGTAATACTTGCTCTTTTTGGAACATGATCAGTCGGTTGGAGTTGCATATGCTTGTCTATTGTGAAAATTTCTTCAACCCCTATCGCCTGCATTAGCCCCCCGAAAGAATACAGATGGGGAAACAGTTGGGTCAGCAAAAGCCTCACAGATCTGCGTCACACTGTAAATTAGCATCTATGGGCTCACCCTTCTTTTATCTAAGTGCTAAGGTAGGCTTTGAGGGTTTTGCTGCCAGGAAAGAGCACGTCTCTGTTCGTAGGAGCTAACCATTAGCATTAGCAACTCTGCAACATGGCAGAACTCCTTCAGGCATGTGTTATTTGTGGAGATAAAACATCTACGTTGCATCTTTAAGCCATGAAAGAAGAGTTAGCAAAGGTAACAATACACAAAATTCTACCTTCCACTCCTCCGGCAAACTTCCATTCCCTGAAGCAAAAGCACAAGAGATCTTTTTCCACAGAAAACAATTCATTCAATCATACTAGAAACAACAGCAGATAGCCATCATTAATAGACATATAGATAGAAGGAGAGAAGGATTCACTATCTGATAAAGACCTAGTTATGTGTCACATTTTAAAAACAATCTTTGCTAAGGTCAAAAAGTTGAAAATATAATTTAAATTAGCATTTAAGACTTCCTGGATGGGGGAAAGCTATTTTTGGGGGGGGGGGGGGGGGGGGGGCAATATCCTCCTCCTGGTACCCACTTGGGAACACCACTGAATACCAGCTATTTGTTACATTTATCAAATAAGTGCAAACAGGTGTTAGAGTTAATAAATTATTTATTTTTGATATAAAACTGACTAAAATTGTATCACTATTATTTTTCTTTTTAGAAAGTGAGCATTGATCAAAGCTAGAAGAATGTAGCTGTAATGTGAAGATGTCCTGAAAGGATGATTGACAACAGAATTAAGAAGCAATGCAGAAAGGCACCGGTTTAACGTTCAAGCGGCGAAAACTCAGACCTAAACAAAATTGGCCAAAAGCAAATATTAAAACTAAAATCGAACCACAGGCCAACCCTTTAAAAACGGTACTAGTGCTTGATAATAACCCCTCTCTTTGTGAGAGACTTTTCTGTATCCAATATATTTTGTTTAGTGAAAGAAAACCTGTTAATGACTCCTATACACAAATGTGGCTGGGATGGCTTTTAATTAATTCAATTAATTTAATTTAAATAATTTACATATGAAGCACCTTCTACCACCTTAGCAGAGGCCCAAGGTGCTGAACAGGACATAAAAACCAGAGTAATAATTAAAAAACATATTGAATAAAAATCTGTAAAAACAAACATAGACAAATAAAAGCAATTAAAAAGTGTGCAATACAAATGATGAAAATATAAAAGCTGGTGTCAATGTTGGGGTGAAGCTAGCTGTGTGGGTTTTAAGGTAAGATTTTAAATCCTGAAAGCGCTTGCTTCACTGTTAAACAAAAATAACTTATAAGAAATAATATAAAGTTTGCAGATCCTGTCAAAAATGACTTTAAACACAAAACTTATTTCTCAGCTGTTTAACTCATTCACTGCCAGCCGTTTCCTGATCGCTAACAGCCTTCGCTGCCAGCATTTCTCACTGTTTTTACTGTTTTTTTAAGAGCCACAGAACGTTGCGCGCTAGGATGATGTTGACGCCAAAACAACCAAAACAAAGAGGAGACTCACCTCTTACATCAGGAAGAATCTGTGTGTTTCGAGCGTTATCCATTCTTTCATAATCCGTTGTTGAATTGTGATCGGCAGACGCTTTTCCGGTTCGCGCCTCACCTTTTTTACAAGAACAGCCAAAAACGATCTCCTAACACATGGATGTTCTGCTTCCTGATCACGTGACGTGACGTATGCGGATGATGATCGGCTTCAGGGCTGAGATGTTTGTTCTCTCAGGCGGGGGCTCGTTCCAAATCTCAAACAGTAAA